CTCCATGACAAAGGATGTTGTGAAGGCCAGGACTATCACACAGGAGCTAGATAAATTCATGGAGGATAGAGCCGTCAATGGCTATTAGCCAGGATGGGCAGAGATGGTGTCTCTAGCCTCTATTTTTCAGAAACTAGGAATGAACAGCAAGAAATGAATCACTTGATTATTACTTGGTCTATACATTATCTCTGGGGCACCTGGCATTGGCAGCTGCCAGAAGAAAGGATACTGGCTAGATGGACCTGTGGTCTGACCTAGTATAGCCGTTCTTATGTTCTTAGGATCTTGTGTACAGTTGACATACCAGACTAAGTACAGAATCTGGTCCATGTTGTTCTTGGATATTGTATGGACAGTTAAAACACAACTCGTCTATGCATTACACTGGCCCTCTTATGTTCAAACCATTTACCTGAATATTATCTACAGAAGGTTAGGCCAGGATACTAAATAAACAGTGCAGATTAGATAGCTCATCTATAAATAACTGCTATAACCAATCTAAAATGATCAGAAAAGTTTAAAATTATTGCATTTTGATGTGCTAACACCAATTTTCCAATATTAGCAAAAACAAAACAAAAAACCGAAACAAGAAAACAGCCAAGAGGTTTTTTTTAATATGCCCGTTTCTGGAATTCCTTACAAATACTAACTTATTCTGCTCCCATGGAATGACTTTCATGGCCTCAGTTGCTTTGGTGGTCATCACTCTGGTCAGTCTCTGTTTCTAGTTGCCCTTATCTCTGGCTGCATGCTGGGCTCTAGCACAAGCTCCTTTATTCCCTGCTGCCTAGTTCCATGGAACTGGGCAGCAGTCATGCAGTGTAATACAACTAACTCCTCTTTCTGGAGAAAGCAAGTTCCAGCTGCAAGTAGATCCTAGCAGGGCAGAAAGATGGAGAAACCATGTCGGCATCTGCCTAGAGCCAAATGGCATGTTCTGTGGCAAAACAGGCTGCAGAAGTGGGCCAGTCTATAATACAAATAACTTGGTTTAAAAGATTTAGATGTATACTTTCTGGCTTAATTTGTTCAGGAGCTTTCGCTTCTCACGGGATTATAAACACAAAGGTCCACTTCAGTGCAAACCACGTTTGTTCTCCACACCAAAGGAAAATCCTTTAGCAAGAATTAACATAGTTTCTCATAACTTACGCTCCCATCAGTGGACATTCCCATATGGTTCAGGTGGCTTCAAATTAAAATGCATGATACAACTCTCTGCCACCAGTCTTAGTACATCAGCATGGAACTTACATCTTCAATACTTGCCATGTATGTGAGCACTGCTGTTCATCAAGTGGCAGTCACTTTCAGGAAGTCGTCTCACAGCACTTAAACCACAAACTCTAGTGGAATTTGTTTATCCATACTGTCTTTTCCAGTGGTTTCCTTCCACTAAGGTATGCTTTAATAGAACTTCATGAGCAAAGAATGACAGATTGGAGTTGAGCAGACTGTGTCAAATATGTTAGGAGAAAAGTGCAGAGTTTGACTTTTCAGTTGTGTATTTACTGAATTTGCCAGAACTTTAAGAAGAACGAGTCAATTGTAAAACAAAGCCCTAAAGCATCATTTGGCTCAAGTATTTTGAAGAAAAACAGTGGCTTCTTTTGTTGATAAACACAATGTTTGTCTTTGTACAAAAACTTTTGCCCATATTTAAAGTCTGCAAACACTCTCACAGGTCAAATCTGTAGAAATGAATGAATTACAGTTGCTCCCTGATGTATACATGGCTGGGCATACATATGTATTTTTTCACAGAGGAAAAGGAAAAAAATAATTTTCATTGGGTGTATGAAAGCATAATGTTATTTATTACACAGTAGGTCGTTGTCCAAAATAGCCTTTAAACTACCACACTAGAATAGTCATTGGTCAACACTATACAGCCGTAAAGGCATATGTTATAACCAGTCATCCTAATAAGTGGGTTTAGTATTGTGTTATTGATATATACATAGATCTGCAGCTGGTGAAGTGAATTCTATGAAGTTCATTGTGTTTAGAGCTCTTACTTTTAAGCTCTCGTCCAAAAGTCCCCTTTATCCTGCGCAGACTTTAGAGGCTGGATTTTGAAAAGCATTTAGCATTGTTCCTATTGAAGTCAATGGGAGCAGGTTTTTTTATCATTTAATTCAGCCTATGCAGGGTAGCTGAATGGTTTTTTTAAAACACACACATAACTTGCAAAGTGCTTGGGGATGAAAGATGCTAATAGAAGACAGGCCTTTTACTTTAAAACTGCAGAATCACTGTTGACCTCTTGTAAAATATGTATTACTACAGAAAATGAAAATCCAGTGATAAATACAAGTCTATCAACTCCCCCTGTCACTTGCAGACAAATCTGCTTTTATAGCCTGATCAAGGTCTCATAGGCTTAAATTAAAATCAGAGGGGATGCTAAGCAGACAGCTTTTGATGGAACTTTGACTAGTAATGGGAGTAAGACCATATCTCCAGGGCTCAACAAACTATGTAATCTACTCACTCATGGCGAGTATATTACAACCCGGAAGAGCCAGGTTCGGGTGATCTGCGCATGCGCAGAATGATCTGTGCATGCACAGATCACCAGAAAGCGCGGCGGGCAAGCAGGGCTCGTCACAGTTTGGCGAGCCCTGCATATCTCAAAAGGCTCAATTTCAAGCAGTCCTTGTTTTTGTCAAAAAAATGGACTAAAATAGTACCGAGCCTCCTCCTTAACCCATGTAGTTGGGCTAAATACTGGCAACTTTTTTTTCCCCTAACCACACCTTACCCACTACCACTACAACTAAAGCAACAGGACAGCTGTGGCTGTGCACTCAGCTCAACAGCTGGAATAGCTATGATGAAAATTTGCACAAATCCCATACTTGTAGAGAATCATGGGAATATCTCCATGCAACTGCATAGCTGAACAGAGCAACCGGGGAGGCTGTGCACTTTCAGCTGGCTTGTGATCTTTCAACAGTGTAAATCAAGAGTGTCACAACTGATTATGGAGCTACTTAGGTATAAGTGAGCAGAAGAACTCAATCCTTATATGTACATCTTCATCATCATCATCTTGCACCAGACTCACTAGCTACATTGCCAGCAGGAACTCCTCCACCAGAGAGATGTCATTTGGTCCAAATTGTGTATTCATCCTGCCACTAAACTATTTAATGGTAGAGAGGTATTTTTGTGGTGGGGGACAGAGCAGCAGTTGGAAAGACACTAGTTCAGGTGTGTCTAGACTACACAATTTTTTCGAAAAAAACTTCACCCACGTCTACTTTTCCGCTGCATTCTTTCTAAAGTAAATTGAAAGAACGCGTCAGTTTTGTCGAAAGCAGTAAACCTCATTTTTTGAGGAATAATGCCTTTTTCTATAGAGATCTGTTGAAAAAAGGCGTGTGTGGGCTGGGGGGGGGGTCGAAAAAACAGACCTCCAGGGAAAAGCCCTAGTGGACAGTCCATCTGCAGGAACCACCTCTATTGTTCCTGTCCATAGCCATGATTTAAAGGCACAGGCACCCTGGGCAGCCATTGTGGCAGGAAGGAAGTCAGAGGAAGCCTCTGACCACATGGCTCTCCCTGCCTCTCTGCCAAGGAAGGATGGCACAAGCACAAGGCCCCCAAGGACCTTCCAGGGAGCCATCCCATGAGCCTTCCACGGGCACCAAGAGGCCAGCTCCAGCCTGGTCAGGGCCAGAGGTCCTGACCCTTGGTACTATGAGGAGAGGAGGAATCGCTCCAGGCTCTGCCTTCTGATGCCGGAAATCAGATATTTACGCCCTCATGGCCGAGGGGCTGGCCAAAAAAGGACACCATCCCAGAACCTTGGATCAGGTGCGGGCCAAGGTTAAAGAATTCAGGCAGGGGCCCGCGAGCACAGCTCCACCTCAGTGGAAGTGCCTCGCCACTGTACGTACTTCCAGGAGCTGGGCAGAATCCTGGGTGGTGGGGAGCCCCTCTCTGCCCCGGTTCTTGTCCAGACTGGGTGGCAGACACCAGTGCAGCGTTTCCGGGAGGATGCTGAGGACAACCCCAAGGAGCAGCTGCAGGACGAAGAGGAGGAGGAGGACCCCAACCGCAGTGTGGTTACCCTGACCCTGAAGCCAGTCCCCGAGAACCAGGAGGCCTCGCAGGCATCCTCTGACACTGGTGAGGGAACATCTGGTGAGTGCAGTCAGGGTCACACACACACACACACACACACACACACACACACACACACAACGGGGGAGGTGGGAGCACAGGGGATGTGGAACAATCTGCACGTTATGTTTTTCCTGGACAGCTTGCACCGCTCTGTGCATGTGCAAGCATGTTCATTCCCAGAGCACACATGGACATCTGCTCACAGCTCGGGAAGGGCCCCACACCTGTCTGGCCCCAGGGAGGGCTGTCATCCCCCGGCCAGGAACTGCGGGAAGCAGGCTGTTCACAAGGGTGCACGCACGACACTACACAGACCACTGCAAGTGTCATGTCTAGCACTTGGGCACATATGCACAAGCGACACAACAATCAGTCCCGCAGACAGTGCTGCCACGGGCAGGCAGTGGATGTGTGAGTGGGGGCCCTGGGAAACCCAAGCTGCTCCAGGCACCTGTCCTATGTCTTGTGACCCACTGTGGCTGGACACTTCCCTGGGCTCTGTGGCCATGGTAAAGGGATTGTTGGGAGGAGGGAGGGGGGATCAGACATTGCCCTAGCTACCTTGGGGCCCCCGTGAGGCCGGGCTGCTGGGAACACTGGCATCCCTTGTTCCAAGGACTTACTCACTGATCACAAGCAGGGACAGTGTGTGCACGCATGACTGACCACTTCTCCCTCTTATCCTCCACAGCTGGACCTGCCGGAGCAGACCAGCATGCGACACCTGTTCCACCACCCACCCAGGCCCATATAAGCCACAGGCACTGGCGGGTCTACAGTGACCTCATGCAGAGGCCCTCGAAAGGATGGAGGAGACCATGGCTGAAAGGGCACAGGAAGAGGCTCGGTGGCACAACTGCTTGCTGGAGGATTTCCTCCCACAGTGGTCAGCAATATGTGGGAATATCCGAGAGGCTCTGGGTGTCCCAGGTCCTGTCCCCATTGCCGCTCCTCCTGCTCAATCTGCTCTAGCCCCCTTTCCCCCCTTCTTGCCCCACAGCCCCTGCCCTCCCCTTTTTCCCCCTCAGCCCCTGCCATGCCCCACCCCCTGCTAGCGCAGAGCCACCTGCAACCCCCTCACATTGTACCAGACCCCACTCGATCCTGAGCACGTTTAGGGCCACAGACCACAGGCGGCAGACTTTTAAAAATATCTTAGGGATGAAATGCTGAATGATCTAAACATGGATATTGGGCACTAATGAACTTCCCTCAGGAAGCCCTTCATCTATGCAGCAGTAAATAACGATCTCAAACAAGCTGCAGCTGACTGGGAGAACCATTTATAGGAAAATCTGTGACAGATATGCGTGTCAAGCTTTGTTCAGTAATCTACAAAGACAACATTCTGAAAGGTTTCATCTGCTCATCACCAGGGACCTCTTTATCAAAATTAAATGTGTTCACTGTGTCCTGTTGCATAGTTGAATGAAAGAACTACTTAATGTTTTGCTGTATGTTAATACAGCTAAGGGATTAGCACAATTTACAATGCTTAGGAGAAGATTAGGGAACTGGGAAGCATACAGATTTGACTAAGCAAACATTGCCACACTCAAATTTGCATGTGCCCAATGGATTTTGAATGACTATGTTTCAAGTTTTGATAGCATGTTCTTCCTTCTTTGTGGCTGATAATTAAACTATTTAATACTTGTACAATATACACTGGTACAATAAATTCAGTTCTGGTTGGAAATCTTACATTTTTTCACAAAAACATGAAAAATGGTGTGGGGGAAGAACTCTTGCACAAGAACACATCCACACGGCCATGTGCTTTTGCGTAAGAGCATCCATGGCAGTGTGGACACTCTTGCGCAAGAAAGCTTTGATGGCCATTTTAGCCATAGGGCTTTCTTGCGCAAGAAACCCCTGCTGCACGTCCACACTGCCCTCTTGCGCAAGAGAGCTTACACTTGTTAGAAAAGAGCCTAGTTCTTGTGCAAGAGTCTCTCCCTTGCCACGCTTTACTGTAAATCTTCTTGCAGAAGAGCAGACAAGCAGTGTGGTGGACACTCTGGAAGAACGGCTGTTCTTGCGAAAGACCCTGCCACTGTAGACATAGCCCAAAGGTCCCTCTAGCCCAGTATCCTGTCTTCCAACAGTGACCAATGCCAGATGCCCCAGAGGGAGTGAACAGAACAGAGAATCATCAAGTGATCCCTCTCCTGTCAGCCATTACCAGCTTCTGACAAACAGAGGCTAGGGACACCATTCCTACCCATTCTGGCTAACAGCCATTGATGGACCTAACCTCCATGAATTTATCTAGTTTGTTTGTTTTTTGAACCCTGTTAAAATCCTGGTCTTTACAATATGCTCTGGCAAGGAGTTCCACAGATTGACTATACGCTGCGTGAAGAAAAACTTCCCTTTGTTTGTTTTAAACCTTCTACCTATTAATTTCATTTAGTGATATCTGGTTCTTATGTTATAGCAACAAGTAAATAACTTGTCCTTATTCACTTTTTTCACACTAGTCATGATTTTATAGACCTCTATCATATCCCCCCTTAGTCTCCTCTTTTCTAAACTGAAAAGTACCAGTCTTTTCAATCTCTCTTCATATGAGACCCATTCCAAACCTCTAATCATTTTTGTTGCTCTTTCCTGAATGTTTTCCAATGCCAATATATCTTTTTTGAGATGAGGCAACCACATCTGTATGCGATATTCAAGATGTAGGCATACCATGGTTTTATATAGAGGCAATAAGATATTCTCTGTCTTAGTCTCTATCCCTTCTTTTATGATTCCTACCATTCTGTTTGCTTTTTTTGACTGTGGCTTCACATTGAGTGGATGTTTTCAGAGAACTATCCACAATGACTCCAAGATCTCTCTCTTGAGTAGTTGTAGCTAAATTAGTCCCCAACATATTGTATGTATAGTTGTAAGTATACTTTCAACTTCTTTGCCCAGTATTATGTTAGATTTACCAGTCTGTAATTGCAAGGATCACCTCTAGAGCCCTTTTTAAATATTGGCATCACATTAGCAATCTTCCAGTCAATAAGTATAGAAGCTTATTCGGTACAGCGGCCTAGTGAGTATCTACTGGACCCTCACACTAAACTTGATTTCTCAAAAGTCACTTAAGCACTTTTGAAAAAACTTTGTGCTAGGTCTCCAACAAATTCCGGTCGGAGTAAGCCAAATGTTTGCAAACCCTTCCCCAACATAAAACTAATAAATGAAGTGGGGCCTATATTGAAGAACTGAAAAGAAATCATCAGAAGGAGGCACACTGACTTCTATCTAATTTATACCTATGTGAAAATTTACCTCTCCAATTCTGCCAGCATTGACTTTCTACTGTTCCTTTTTTAAAACCTAGCTGCGTGTTTCTGAAGAAGGTCTAGGTATGCTTTAAATACCTAGTAACTGCTCATAGTTTTCAACTCTGCCTTTCTAACCAGGATTTATTCCTCATCTTTTGCCTCTATAAACCTGGATTATAAGATTTACTTGCTCTGCTTTGACTTGTCATGAAAGCTGTTTAAGTTTTCTCCAGCCATACTTTTGACCAATCCAAACATATTTTTTTTTTCAGAAAATGTTTATTTTGGAAAGGGAGTAGAGGAAAATTGTAGTTTAACGAACTCAGAAACTTCCAAATTTTCCACCAGCCCCACTTGCTGTATGTATCCTGTCCATTGTAATCGCTTGACAAAAGTGAATGAGCTAGATGGAAGGATATATCCTTTATCCTCATCCAATTTCTTGATGAGGTCATTATTTGGTTTCTGTGCCTTTGGGTTTTTTGGGGACTTGGAATTTGCTCCTGAACAGCAAAAATGGAGGTAGAAGATAATTCTCTTCCTTGAGACTGTACTGCTGTGGTGGTTGTGACTAGCTCCAATATCTGACCGTCCATCAGTGTGTCTGATGGAATAACCCTTCTCTGTGCCTGCAGCCTACAGAAACTTGTGTGGTTCTTAGGATTTGTACAGGTTTCAGGAGTGAAGAGGGGGGGAGAAGACACTAGTTAGTCGATCTGTGTGTACATTGTTTGCATATGGCTTGCACAACCACTGCAGCACTGCTTTACAATATTCTCTTAATAAAAAGCCAATTGAGATTTAGCCACATGGAATACTTTCATGTTCTCCATCATGCAGCACATGAAACATGGTGGCAGTGGACAGTCTTGCAAGACCTGTGGCCAGGAAGGATTATCATGATTATGAGGGTTAGCCAGCAGCCTGGGGATTAAGGGGTTAACTACACCTAGCCAGGTGGAGTGACCAATAGGAATGTAGGTGGGACTTTCAAACTGGGACAAAGGAATTTAGGTTTTTTCCTTTCTCCCCTTTTGTCTCTCTGGGAGAGTTCTCTGCAGCTACAGAGAGGGACAAGCATGTCTCTCTCTCTCCAAGACACCATTCTTCATTTTCTGTAAGTAGGGTAAAGTTTTGGTAGTTTCGTTAGGTTTTATTGTTTTAAGGATTATGTATGGGATCTGAGATCTGGCACTGTTTAAAAGATGTTTTGGCTTTTCTTTGTAACTAAGTTCTAGGCCCATGGAGGTTCTCCATGAGTATATTTTGTTACCTTCCTATCTAGTCATTATACTTGCAACAGGAATATTGTTGTAATAATAAAAGTTCTTTCTTTTCTTTTTATTAACCTGGCAGTGGTTAATTGTGTGCCTTGATTTTTATTTTAGGGGTGAGATTTCCCAAATGATCTTTCCCCTGATTTCTTTATCAACATTTGGGTGGTGGCAGCGGAAGTTTTATTCCCAAGATCTAGGGTTTTAAGATTTTGGGGGAAGTTTTATACCAAAGCCTGGTAGATAAGGCTTTGGGGTACACTTGCTGGCCCCCACTTCTGCATTTATCATGCCAGAGGGGGGAAGGAGCCATGACAAGGATGATTAACAGATAAACAGCAACCCAAAGCTAAGCAAACGGGCAGCATGGAAGAACTCAGAGCACAACAAATACTGGATTTCCAGACAAATCTCTTCAGCAAGTATGGAAGCACAAAAAGTTGACCATTAGGTATGAAGGTGAAAAAAAAAGAAGGATAAACCATTTTATCACCTTATTTGAAGGCAGAAGGGGATGAGAAGTAAGACACAATTGCCAGGAATAATGCCGGAAACACTGGGACAGATAAGTGTTTCAGTACTGTAACTCCAGGAAGAATGAGACTGTAGGTTCTGGTTTTGTTTTGTTTTGTTGACTGAAACCAAGAAACAGAAAAGTAAATAAATACTTACATTAGAGGTGAGAACTCTGGGAACCATGGTCTATAACTAGATCATTTATGGGACGTGTGGTTCCAATATAGGAGGGAGACAGGCCTGTTTCTGTTAGTTATCCCTAGAGAAATGCTTCTGAATAGCAAAGGGACCTGTAGAACTCACTGGTGCAGAAAATGTACATGGGCTCAAGCTAAAGGAACCCAGGAATCAGGATAGAGACAGACTGACCAAGAACACAGACATAACCATACTATGGAAAGTAACACAAAAGGCAGAAAAAAAGTGCCAACCCTATAGTCAGTTGTGCAAAGGGAGTGAGAACAAGAGCCACTTCCTTTGAATGGTGCAGCTACCCCAAGAGGAAGATGGAGAAAGGCAGTAGTAGCTGCAATGTCTGAGGCCGGGTCTACATTAAAGCAGAAGGTTGAATTAAGATATGCAACTTTAGTTACATTAATTATGTAGCTGGAGCTGATGTATTGTAAACCACATTTCTGCACCATCCATGCAGTGGAAGTTCAACGAGAGCAAATGCTCCTGTTGGCTTCCCTTACACCTCAGAGGAGCAAGAGTACCTGTGTTGACAGGGGTGCTCGCTGAGTTTGATTTAGTGGGTCTTCTCTAGACCTGCTAAATCGAACCCTGGAAGATCGACCATGGCAGTGTTGCTC